ATATGTTTCTTTGCATAAATTTAATAAGACTCGTTTTCAGTTGTGGTTTTATTAATCAAGACTTTGACTGAGATGTCATGTCTGAAAAATATGTGCCTGGACTCTGGCTGTCACCAGAAAGCTTTAAGGAATGAAGATTGACTTTGAAACCAATAAGAGCCCTTTGGAGAAAGCCCAGTACCTTGTTTGTTCCTATGATTCACAGTAACCTTTCCAGGTAAGGAACACAGTTTGCTTTCCTGAGAGATGGCAAGGAAGGAACCTTAAGACATCAATGGGGACCTCAAGAACTTAAGGAATTCATCCAAGTCTATAAATATTGCAGGCAAACCTGATGGCAGCTAAATGGCTCAGCTTTTTTGTCCTGAGGGGCTAATTAAAGCTCAATCATGAGATTCCAGCAAAGCAGATTTTTAAAAGCTTGCATAATTGATTGCTATTCTTATTGTGTTTATGCAAATGATCAGGCCAAATGGTAACTAGACTTAATACAGTAAGTAATTTGGTCTTAATTTAGCTCTTTAATAAAAACGAGAATAATTTTAGGGGGAAATTTGTTTTTCAATAGATTCTATAATACACAGTTGTAAATATTAGATTCAAAGTTTTATTTTTCATTTATAAATTGAACTGGATCCTGAATTTATCTAGTTTTCTTAAATATTTGACTACTACCCTCCAAATTAATGTTTCATTTTTTTCCTATCCTTTTACTTAGAATTATTAGAACTAATGTTTCATTCCTTCCACCATACCATTTATCATAATTCTTGTTCTAGCTTTTGCCCTGATAAAAAAATTTGTGACACCGTTTGTCTCCACCAGATTACAAGTCCTACTTGTACTCATGAAATACCACCCTAGACACCATTACAACCTCCTTCTGTGCCCAGGTCGCCTTGTCCCTCACACAGAGAGAGCAAGGATCTTTTGGCTCTGAAGGAAAATGTTGCCACATTTCAGCAGGAAACAGCTACAGAAGAGATCCTGAACCCATTTTCTCTGAGATAATTCAGTGTCAAAAGTCCTTGAGGGGGGAATGTTAGACGATGGGCCAGGTACAGAAACTCACCGGGGCAGAAAGATCCAGATGCCTACCAAGGGGCAAAACTGGGAAAATAAGAATCTTGCCCTCAGGGTAACCTATTCTCCCCTAGCAGATCACTGGCCATGTGGTTTGGACCCCTGATTTTTCATATTGCTGGTCTGGCAGTTTAGACCCCCTGACCTTTTCCTCCCTTTTACATCTAGGCCTCAGTTGTATTTGAGCTCCAGGTCCAGAAAAGCAGCAAAACCAGACAAGTGATGCTGTGACCCAGGACCAGCTATATTGACTAATGACCCCCTGCCCTGGCATTGACCAGTCAATGGAAACCATGACCCTGAAAGAGCACACCTGGGAAGCTGATAAATATTCTATTGAGACCCCTCCTGTGAGTTCTCCCCTAAGATTTTCACCTGCAAGAAAGAGATAAATATGCCCAGGACAAAGGACCCAGTGTGCCCTCTTCCTCCAAGGAGCACCCCCATGCCATTCTCTTTTCCCTCTCATTCCCTCACAGGCACGTAACCCATAGCCTCTAAGGGACCCCATGAGACTTGCAACCAAGGGAGCAATGGGCAGTGGCAGCTTGTCCTGGGCTTATCCCCCGAACCTGTCTCCAAGGCCTCCTTTTCTCTGTGCAGCCCTTCCCTTTGGATATCCTCTTCTCCTACCCCCCTTTCATTAAATAAATTCAACTTTTCTCTAATCATTATCTGAGATGGCTATTTAGCCTGCCTGTGCACCACCAACTTTAACCTTTCGTAACCTCACAAGCTGATTTGATCATAAATTCCTAACTAGGCAGGACATGGTGAGTTGTCAATAGCCTAGACATATGACTTCTTACGTTAAAGGCTTATCTTTGCCTTTAGCCCTTTCCATTGTTTCTGTGCATCAAGGTTAGTGCCTCTTTGAAATGCCTCTTTCAGACTCCTCCTTCCACTGGGTGAACACCCTCAAGAGAGCACACGCTCATTAACGCTCCTGTAATCACATGGCCTTGCTTGGTTTTCTCCCACCTTTACATGATCTTTTTCAGGGTCTCTCCTTAATTCCAAATGCACAAAAGAAGCATTTATCTTACTAGGATAGTCTATTGAGATCTTGCTTCCATGTGTATCCTTCATTTAATTCTTACAGGTTTTTATGTTTCTTATATCTACAGAGCAGAAAGGGTGGTGGTAGGGAGGAAGCTCAGGAATGGTAGTGGGAATGTTGCAAGTGGGGGCTGGTGGCAGAAGGATTCCTGCTTCTTAATAGTAGGATTTAGTCCTTGGACTCCTAGTGCTCCAGGGTTCCTGAGGGTCCCATCTTCAGCCCTGGCAGGACTTTTTTGGGCAGCAAGTAGAGTGGGCTTGTTACCAACTGGGGTTACTGGCTAGGACCTTGGTTCTTCTCATTGATGCAGAAAAGATTTTAAGGTCAACAAAAATGAAAGTAAAGCAATGTGGGGTTTATTGAATATACACATCAAGGGAGGAGCAGGCAGTTGAGACAATGGCCCCACACTTCTGAGTTATATGGTTTAAATGGTGAATTTTCTGAATGATTTTCAGTTGCATTCTGGGATGATTAAAAAAGGGTTATGTAACTATTTCTTCTACACATTCTCCTTACCCATAATGCATATAGGAAAAACTCATGGGGGCGGGGGATCAAAATTGCAATGCACAGTTTATTATAATTAGTCCAAGGCCCTAGTAAGATTGCATAGAGGTCATGTCCTTTTTCCCCTGTGCTTGCTCCAAAAATCACATGGTTCTGGACCTGCCTGCTGGCCCATCTATAGAGAGGTGGTCTGAGGCAGTGTTGGTCTGATCTCAACAGAACCCCAGGGCAGGCACACCCCAGCTGCTCATGCCTCACTTCCTACCTAACATTTCCCTGCTCAAGGTATGGGATCGCAGTTCTTTGAGGACTTTTGGGAGAAGACCACTCTGGCTGCTTAAAGCTGATCAGGGCTGTTGTGAGACTTTGGGTTCCCATACTTGCTAGCTGTTGGCTGAGAGAGGTGGATGTCCACCCAGGGTCCCAGAATAAGAAGTCTGTGATGTGGGTGTGAGGGCTTGGTATCCTTCAGACAGAATCATTTAAGGCCATGATTCCCCATCGGGGAGCTTATGTTGTGGCCAGACCCAACCATAATAGAAAATTACTCTTTTCTTTTTGAAGGTCTAGGAGTCAAATCACGCCCAGTTAGCCAAGACACAGGCCAGGGGACTCCTGCCTGGTATATTTGTCGATTTCCCATCTGGAAGGAAGAAAAGGTCAGGAATTAGAGATCCCAGTGTCCTGGGGTCAATTCTGGAGCTTGGGGTCCCAGGGCTCAAAGGCATCTGAAATCTCAGGCATTTGGCAGGGATGATGAGAGACTGAGGGCACCACCTATTCTCACCATAATTCGAGAGGAGGGGAAATCAAGCCTTTCTGAGTGATGAGTGTCTCTGCAGACCTGGTTGGGGTGGGATATGTCCAGGAATCTGGGAACAGGTAAATCTGCTCGACTAGGACAAAGCAGCAGAAGGAAAGAAAAAGAGAGAGAGAGAGAGAGAGAGAGAGAGAGAGAGAGAGAGAGAGAGAGAGAGAGAGAGAGAGAGAGAAAGAGAGAGAGAGAGAGGGCATGCTAGTGTGTCCAGAGGAGACAACAGTGTGTAGGGAGCCATTATAGGGTTTGGATTGACCTGCTGGCAAAGTCGCAAACAAGTCCTAGCTTGGAGGGCACAGTCCTCTAAGCATAATTAAGCTTGATATTGTGACTGCTCCCTAGATCTTTCCTGGGTAACTAATGGGCTGTGGGAGAGGCAGCAAGTGCTGCCAAAAAAGTGAAACTTATAAGAACATCGTAAATTACCTTGATTCCCCCTGACTATAAAGAAAGCATCAGCTTTGCAGTCTGGATCTGTTCTGTGGCTTCAGCCAGGTACAGATCCACCTAGACCCAGCTTGTTCTCTTTGTCTGTCTTTTTCTTCATCCTTCACCGCCCTCCCTCAGGCTCGCCAAACCCTTGGCTGTGCTGGCGTGGCCAAAGTGGAGCTGAGCGCGGTTCAACAGTGTAAAGGGGTTTTCTAGTGTAGAGGAGGGTTTTGCTAACAGGGTCTTGATGTAAATGAGGCAGTAGACAGTAAATGGAAGGACTAATGGCTTGAGGTGAATTTAGGTGCCCTTTATTTCCTAGTTGCCTCATACCTTGTCCTTCTGCATAATATCTTATGTATTCCTTTGATGATGCCTATGCCATTTCGGCTGGACCCCTGTGATCCACTCATAGAGGTAGACTCCTATTCTGAGAGTTTTTACATTGTCCAGATTGTGGGAACACTGTGCCTGCCATAATCCCTGACAGGTAGAAATTCTACCGCGGTACTTCCCGCCAAGGGCTGTAGAGACTTGACCCAGTTAAATCCTGAGAGATGTTGCAGGCGATAGACAAAAAGATTTACCCAATGGATCCAGCTGGAAGAATGAATGTTATCTGCTGGCCCATGGATGTTATCTGCCCAGACCCTTTGGGGTTTCATACAGTCTAAATAGATGTGGAAGGCCTCCAGGGCGGGGCAGAAAAGAAGGTAATAAGGACCCTGGGATTATTCCTAAGACAACTCCTATCCCTAAAAAGTGTTTTAAGGCTGTGATCAGGAATTAGTGGTCTAGTAAAGATGGAGTTAAGGTTCCAATTTCCCAGAAAGCCTGTATCTTCTGGATGGAGAAAATGTGCTTTTGTGGGCTCTTCTGGGAGGATCTAAAAAGCCGGCTGGGAGTTTCAGTATTAGATCTGTTCTTTTCTGCAAAGAGTGGGTGTCTCTAGGTACAGGTTATGGGGAGCCAATTTAATGATGTCCCCTACAGTCTGAGGGCAGAGGTAAGCAGGAGGTACTATTTTCTGTGTTGCCTCGCCCTCCCAATCCTGGAAAAGAAGGAAAAGCAAAGCAGCTTTCTCCAGACTCAAGGACTTACGGTTTGTGCAATCTGAGTAGCGGCACCAAAAAGATGTTACCAGTTGAGGTTACGGCTAGGACCTCGGTTCTTCTCGTTGAATCAGGAAAGATTTTAAGATCACCGAAAATGAAAGTACAGCAGAGTGGGATATATTGAAGATATACTGCTAGTGAGAAGGAGGCCAGTCAAGAGAGAGAATGTCCCAAACTCCTGAGTTATATAGTTTCTATGAGGAATTTTATGGGTGGAGACTTTCATTTGCATTCAGGGATGATTGACAGAAAATATATCTTCTGCGCATGCTCTTAGCCATAAAGCATACAGACAAACACTCCAGGGTTGGGTGGAGGGGTGTGAGGGGGTGGTCAAAACTACAATGCAAATTTTATTATAATTAGTCCAGGGCCCTAGTAAGGTCACACAGAGGTCATGTCCTTTTCCTCCGAGATTGCACCAAGAACAGGCTGGTTCTGGACCTGCAGGTTCTGGACAGGCCCGCTGGCAGTCTGCTGGCTGCTGGGCCAGCCATAGAGGGGTGGTCTGAAGGCCGTGCTGGTCTGACCCCTGTCGGGACTCCAGGGCAGGCCCCACCCCGGCCGCTCATGACTAACGTCCTACCTAACAGGCTTACCTCAGAACTTCAGGATCAGTCTGAGCTGAGTCTTCTGGATTCCCAAACTGATAACTGGGCCTGCTTGGTTTTGATCCCGGAGGTCGTGAGAACAGAGATCCCTAGAGGCTGGTTCTGCTCCCAGCGTTCCGCTCCTGCGGCAAGGCCCAGGCGCTCCCAATGTCCTTTGGATCTATCCGTTGGAAAGCAGGGAGGAAGGGAGGCAGTGTCAAGGCTGCCTTCACCCTGCTCACACTGCTTCTTTAGAAGCTCTGGAGATCAAGGTTTGAATGACCTGGTCCCTTCCCAGGGAAAGGAGGTTCAGCCAAGACAGTGATCCCCATAACCTGGTGCTTTCACCTGGAAAATATCCCTGGAACCCCACCCCTCTCTCCATTCCCATTGCCCTGATCCTGTGGGGGCCACCATCTCAGTGGCCTCCCAGATGGTCTCCCAGCCTCTACCCTTCCCTGATCAGAACCCCTCCAACCCAGCCTCCACCCTTCCCTGACAGACCACTGCCCTGATTAAACCCTTTTGTGACTCCCTGCAACCTCCTGGCCTGGATCACTTCTCCAGCCTCATCCCTCTTCTCTTTCATTTCGTGATCCAGCCAGACTTGACTGGTTCTCTATGTACTCTTTAAAAAAAAAAAAAAAAAAAAAAAAAAAATATATATATATATATATATATATATATATATATATATATATATATATTATTGATTTTTTTACAGAGAGAAAGAGAGAGGGATAAAGAGTTAGAAACATCAATGAGAGAGAAACATCGATCAACTGCCTCTTGCACACCCCCTACTGGGGATGTGCCCGCAACCAAGGTACATGCCCTTGACTGAAATCGAACCTAGGACCTTTCAATCCACAGGCCGACGCTCTATCCACTGAGCCGACGCTCTATCCACTGAGTATGCACTCTTGCTGTGTCCATACTGTTCCCTGTGCCTGGAGCACCCTACATGCTGGATCCTACCAGCTGATCAGGCCTTTGCTCCCTGTAGCCTTGTCCCAGAAGTCCCCTGGCTATCCTCCACCGGGTTAGGCGTTCCTTTATGCTCTCAGGGGCTCAAGGGCTCCTGGAGAAATTGCATTTTTATTTTATTTTACTCGTGTTAAATAAATACATAAAAGAGTGTACGCTTGAAAATGGCATTTTAAGGGTACCCTTAAAAAAGTGGTACCCTTGGCTGAAAGCGGTTTGGCTCAGTGGATAGAGCGTCAGTCTGCGGACTGAAAGGTCCCAGGTTCGATTCTGGTCAGGGGCATGTACCTTGGTTGCGGGCATATCCCCAGTAGGGGGTGTGGAAGAGGCAGCTGATTGATATTTCTCTCTCATTGATGTTTCTAAGTCTCTATCCCTCTCTCTTCCTCTCTGTAAAAAATCAATAATATATATATATATATATATATATATATATATATATATATATATATATAGAATAGGACCACAGTTGTTTAATGATTATTCACTTTACCGATTACAGATAAGAGGTTATCTTACAGACCCTGGGAAACTGGAGGATGTGGTGCAAGAAGGAAAAACAGAGCTGTAAAAAGATAAGCAACACCTTGGGGCTAGGATGAGTCCATTGCTCTGAAAAGAAAATACATTTTGAAAATAAAGGACAGCAGACAATTTGAGTTGGTAGCTGTGCCTAGACTCTGAACCCCCTCAGGGTGTTTGCCTCAGGAATGCTGACTATACTTGGGTCCTGGCTGGCAGGCTGGGTTTTAACACCATTGTAAGTTAACTACCTTGTTATCAGATTTCAAGATTCTGGAAGGAGACCCAGGGACCTCAGACCCTGGGGTCAGACCTGTTTCTCTCCCCCCCCTCCTCCCCCCCTTTCATGCAGCCTTTCTTCCTTATTTATCTATCGATATATAATAAAATTAGTGCACTGGGTCTCTAGTATATAAAAGCCTAAATGATCTTTACAATGAAACAACCTGAAAAACTGGTGGTTGCTATGATGCACATTGACCACCAGGGCCAGACACACAATGTGGAAGATGCTCCAGCCCACAGGCCCCAATTGCTGATGGGCTCTCCTCCCTCCGCCTGCCCCTTTCTGGCAGGCAGGTCCCGATTACCTGATCAGGGCTGGAAAAGGGAACAGGGGTGGGGTATTGGTGGGTGGCAGTGGACTCAGGCAGTGAGGGAAGGAGGAAGTGATTGGCCCTGATCACCTGCCAGGCCTAGAGACCCCACCCATGCACGAATTTTGTGCACCAGGCCTCTAGTTCCTATATAATCAGCCAGTTAGGAGGAGGTGTTTGAACAGATTTTTCATGGATGGCCTGCTGCTCTCCCATACTGTCCACATTATTGGAATAAATGCTCATATACGATTCAACCCTGTCTCTGCTTAATTGGCCTAAGGAGTGACAGGCAGCCTGGACCCTTTTGTTGTCTGGGTTCATGAGGGGCCTTTGGAGGTTTTGGGCAGAGGAGTGACATTGCCTGACTTCGGTTTTGACGAGATCACCTGGCTGCTGTGCTGGGAATACACTGTGGAGGTGGGTGATGAGCAGTGGAGGCCCCCCTTTACTATAGGACTTGCTGTCTAACTATGGGGAATCTGGTCAGCTGACAGCCTCCAGCATTAGCGCTTTCAGGTCTGCTTCAGCTGCCCAGGTGGCCAATTTCTGTGTGGGGTGGCCCCAGGCAATGAGTGAGCCAACCCCTGCCACCCAATGCGGGGTGCTCTAATAGACAATCTTTGTCTCTGGATGGAGAGCTCCCTGCCACAGGTCTTGTTGCTCAATCTACTTCCTCCCCTTTTCATTCACAGGTATTTAACCCCAGAACACCCTTTGCACTCTTAACCCTTCCCCAGTGTCTGCTTTCCAGGGTCAGGGGACTGCAGGCGGGAGACTGTTGCCGTAATCCAGGTGAGAGCTGATGAGGAGGTCCAAGTCAGCTCAGGCTGCTATAACAGAATAGTACAGACTGGGGGGCTTACCCAAGAGAAATACATTGCTCACTGTCCTGGAGGCTGGAGTGAGATCAGGGATCCTGCATGGTTAGATTCTTGGAGACTGCCCTCTTCCTGGTTTGCACAGGGCTGTCTTCTCAACCTGTCCTCATCCTTCTCTTGTCTCTTCTTATAAGGGCACTAATCCCATTCGTGAGAGCTCCATCCTCATGGCCTAGTCACCTCCCAAAGGAGCTACCTCCTAATGCCATCACACTGGGGGTTAGGATTTCAACAAAGGAATTTTGGGGGAATGCAGAAATTCAGTCCATAATGGGACTTGGACCAGGGTGATGAATACAAAGTAATCTCCCATTTACCTCAGCTGCAGGGTGGCTGTTTTCTCATTCAGTAGATGTGGACTTGAAGGCTGTGTATATAAAATTGAAATCTATCAGATGCACGATTGAAGGAGGCTCATGCTATCGAGGGAGGAAGAAACAGGTGTGTACCCTGAGCAGAGAAAGCCAAGGGGACTTGAGAGCTATCTTCTGGTGATAGTGATGTGCACTGGGGGACTCTGGGTAATGAACATTAGCCCAACACATACTGGATGAGAACAGTAAGCTGTGAAGCTCAAAATAGCTCCCAGGCCTTAAGGCAGGATGTCCAGGACTGGAATGTCCCTCATCCATGGACCTGGACTGCAGCCTGGAGAAGCAGGGTCGGGCTGGAAGCTCAGTCCATTCTGATTTCTAAGCCATCCTTGGCCAGGCAGCCAGCATGTCCTGGAAGATACTGGAGTGCATGATGGCGGATAGGTGGAGATCCTTTCTCCCTAAGACCTTTGCTAACATCCAATCCAAGCTGGGGCTGAGGTCCCATGTGGCCTGGGGATCAGGCAGAGACTTTCCTGAGCATGCATGTACTCGGATAGTTACTGGCTATGCTGTTAGCTCTGTACTAATGCCTTACCTGCAGTGTTTCTTTTTACCTCTACACAGGGGTCTTCAAACTACGGCCCGTGGGCCACATGCGGCCCGCAGAGGAGTCTGATCCGGCCTGCCAGGTTTTTTGGGCAGTGAGCGCAGCCGAGGTGTTACAGTAGGAATTAGTAGTTCATATAGTCCGGCCCTCCAGCTCTCTGAGGGACCGTATCTGGCCCCCACTTTAAAAAGTTTGAGGACGCCTGCTAGGTATGTCCTGAGTGCTAGCATGAATATGTTTCCTTTGATCTACTCTTCCCCCTTCTCCACCCTGCCTTGTGCCCCGGGAGGCTCACTGCCCCCTGGATCTCTGGCTTCTGGTTGGGTTGGGTCAGTTGGGCAAGTGAGCAGGGGATGGGAGAGTGAAGTTGGACTATTTATTTGATTGGATGCAGCACCTGTGTGGCAACCCTGTCCATTGCTCCTCTGGCACTAGCCCCAGCATACGGAAGTTACCCTTCATGGGTTTCCTGACTCATGCCCATTCCTTTTATAACAGCCCCTCCGGGAAACTCGCTGACATTATTTGGTTTGACTGTGCCCTCTGGTTCCCTCCAGGACCCTGATGGATACGGTTCCCATTGTATTGGCGACAAGACAGAGATTCTGAAAGTTTGCCAAGGTGTAGCACGGTGAAGCTGGGATCCGGAAGTGGCTAAGCCATGATTCAGACCTGGAGGGTGGATGCCAGCCCTGCCCAGGGACCGTAAACTTGGCTGGCTTATCCATCTCACAAATGGCTGCACTTGAGAGCAAATATGAATCACAGCCCCTGTGTCTGCACAATGATCCGGCCTCTCCCCGCCTGCATTGGCCCTGGGCTGCCTCCTGGGTTTCTGGCTCCTGGCCTTGGCTTTAATCGTCACCACATGTTCCTCTAGGCCAGGATAGCCATTGTGCCTCTTCCGCTTCCCATCCTGGTCTGGCCTTGGTGTTGGTGTCCCCTAAGTTTCAGGTCCTCACACAGTGCTGGGAGAGGGGCTGAGCCCCCCAGAAGGCTCTTAGTGCAGAAGAGTTTGTTTCTCTCTCCCCCAGGCTCTGAGCTCCTTGGGCTCAGGTCCTACCCCCTCTGCAGTCCCAGCATCCTGCCATGGGCCCGGTGTGGAGAAAATGCTCAGGAAAACGAAAAGGGCTGAATAATGCTTGGGTGAGGCAGGGAACACGTGCCTGTAGGGGAGACAACGGGCCTGCTGGGAGCATATATGCATAAGGAGTGAGAGTATGACTAACAGGGATTTTGTGTACACAGGGTGGGGTTGCGGTTGTGGATGGCAGTGCCTGGGTCACAGAGGAGGGACTGTGATTTGTCTACAATGAGAAGGCAGTGATTGTGTGCGCTCAGGACTGCCTCCCTGTAAGATCACTAGAACGGCTGTAGCGGGAGCATAGCGCCCTCTTGTGGCCACATCTCCAACCACAGTAGGTTCCATCCCAGCTCCCACAGGTCAACCCCAGCCCCAGTCCAACTTCAGCCCACAGCCTAGCTTCACCCCAGTCATGGAGCTCTCTCTCCTTCTCAGGGCTACCTCTCCTGCCCTCAGGGCCCTGTGGGTGGGAGTGTAGAAGAACAGAGGATGGAGCCAGCCGGTACAAAACACAGCCTTTATTCGTTTTCAAGGACACTGCCATAGGGATGTTCCTATTAGGACATCCATCCCACGTCCCACGAAGCAGCGTCTGAAAGGCTGGCACCAGACTGGGCACATTTGCCGGGAGGAAGATGGGGAGCGGAGCTTCCTGAGGCTGGGAGAGTGGAGTCTGGGGAGGGGGACCTGCCCCGAGAGCAGTGGGACTCAGAGGACCCCTGGGTGTCACCAGGAGAGGTTGGTGTCACCAGAGCCTCCTCCTCCTCTTCCCAAGAATCCTCAGGCCTCCCGACCTCCCACTGATGTGGAATTCTCCCTCTGCAGCGCAGGGACTGAGTGCTTCTCTGAAGGGCAGGGTGTCCTTTTTGGTCAGATGCATCCAGCCCAGGGCCAGCATCTCTCCTCCTGTAGCTTCCAGGCCCCCGCACCTGCCCTTCTCTCTGCTTGGAAGCACTTCTCACCTCTCTCTCTCTCTCTTTTTAAATATAGATTTTATTGATTTTTTTTTTTTTTTTTTTTTTTTTTTTTTACAGAGAAGAAGGGAGAGAGATAGAGAGTTAGAAACATCGATGAGAGAGAAACAACCACCAGCTGTCTCCTGCACACCCCCTACTGGGGATATGCCCGCAGCCAATGTACATGCCCTTGACTGAAATTGAACCTGGGACCTTTCAATCCACAGACGACGCTCTATCCACCGAGCCAGACCAGTTTCGACTCACTTCTTAAACTTGATTTCCTCAGGAAATTCTCGCCTGCTCGCTCCCTCCTGGGTTGGGTAGAAGCCCGGCTATAAGTGCCCTAAGCATCCCCTTGCTCAGTAGTTAATCTGCTCGTTTCAATGTTGGTTTTGCCTAGGGGATGACACTGGGCCTGCGGTGTGACCTACACCCAAGCATTCAGCACAGTGCCCAGCGCTCGAAAAGTATCTGCCCCCAGTGCAACTGGACAGCTCGGTGAACTCCAAGTGGGGGCACCCAGCACCAATAGGACCCCTCCACCGGCGCGATGCCTCCCCGCCTGTCCCCGTTGGCAGGCCAGGCATCGCGTCCCAGCCCGAGGTCAGATGGGGGTCATATGGGGGTCAACGTGGGCGCTGAAGCATGCGGCTTGTCGTTGTGGGCATCCAGGGCGAACTCCCCGCCCTCCACCAGCTTGTGGTGGCAGCGGCAGGTGGAGGCCCGGCTGGCTGAGGGCTTGCGGCTGCCCGGGGGCCTCTTGCTGCGGATGCCTCGGATGACCCTGTGGAAGATGAGGTAGCAGATCTCGCTGATGGTGAGCACGATGCAGACGGCCGAGGCGCCCACCATGAAGTAGGTGAAGACCTTCTTCTCGGTGGGCCGGGCGATGTAGCAGTCCACCGTGTTGGGGCAGGGCGCCACGTTGGCGCACTGCACCAGGCGCGGCATGCTGAAGCCGTACCAGAGCGTGTGCAGCACGTAGAGGAAGACGAACTCGATGGTGAGCTTGAAGACGAGGCTCAGCAGGTAGGTCCACCACAGGCCGCCGTGCTTCTTGCCCGCGTTGTCGTACAGCTTGGCGCACTGGTCCCCGTGCTTGAGGCGGTGCCGCCGCTCCCGCTCCTCGCGGTAGGCCACGTGCAGGATGACCAGCAGCGAGGGGCAGGTGACGAAAATGAGCTGCAGGGCCCAGAGGCGGATGTTGGAGATGGGGAAGTAGGTGTCGTAGCACACGTTGGTGCAGCCCGGCTGCTTGGTGTTGCAGTCAAAGTCCTTCTGCTCATCCCCCCACACACGCTCCGCCGCCACCACGTACACCAGCACCCGGAAGACGAACACCACCGACAGCCAGATGCGCCCGAAGGCCGTGGAGTACTTGTTCACGCCGCTCAGTAGGGACTGGAGCGTCTTCCAGTCCATGGTGTCTGGTAGGGGCGCCGGGGGCCGTGCACACCTGATGGGATAGCAGGGAAGACCATATGTTCATGGGTAGATTCTCCCTTCCTCCAATGGATGGACGGACATAAACTCCACCTGCAGCCAAACATTCCTGAGTACTGGACCACCAATCAGCACCTGTCAAATACCCTAAGCCCCCGACTCCTAAATCCCTAGGTCCCTAATCATAGGCCTTACATGAAACCACCAATCAGCGTGTGCTGAGTGACCTAAGCCCCGCCCCCTATATTCCCCTTAAATGTGCTTGTACTCCTGCCCTGGCTCTCTTACGCGCTCTCTCTGGAAGCAGCTGGTAGTGGCACTTTTCTCTTCAATAAAGCCTGTGTCCTGGCATCCCGGTCTCCATCTCTCTCTGTTTCATCTTTCATTAATGAAGGGGTGACATTCGCTGAACTTTTCCTATGTTCTGGGCTCTGTGTGGATGGACTCATTTGATCACGGCAAAGACCTTATGAAACCAGGGATACTATGCTGCGTAAGCTACAGGGAACAGGCAGAGCGGGTAAGTCACCTGCCTAAAATCACAGAGCTCCTATACCAGGAGGAACAACGATTCCTATTTATGGAGCCTTTACTCTGAGCCAAGCACAGAGCTAAACACTCTGTGAGCAGGATTTCACTTAACCCTTATAACAACCCCATGAGATCAATACTCTTAGGCTCCTCATTTACCCTTACAAAGACGAGGGTTGCAAAGAGCTTAGTACATAGTCAGCGCTCCATAAACGCTGGCCACTCATGAACTCCAGAGAGGTCCAGTCACTTATTTAAAACTAGAGTTGGATTCAAGGCTGGACTATGGGTGCCAGGGCTGTGCCGTCCATCACCTTCTCTCCCCTCCTCTGCTGGGCGCCTGCCCCAGACCAGGTTCTTACAACTTACCTTGTTGATGCCTTGCTACCATCCTGTGAAGTTGGGGCTGAATCTTACTCTACAGAGAGGAAACTGAGGCTGGGGGAGGGGAACTAACTCCCCAAAGTCTCACAGCTAGTGGGTGGTAAAGCTGGGAGACCAATTCAAGTTGGGGTGTCGTGTGTGTGAAGAGGGGTAATGGCCTAGCTCTGGGGAACAGGAGATCTAGAGACGATGGAGCTAGAACTGCCTGCTTCCTGCACCAGGCCCGGGGGAAGCCCCAGCTACCAGCCTCTTGGCTTCCAAGGCTTTGTTCGGGCCTCCAGGTCACCCTAGCCATGCTGGGTGTGTGGAAGCATGTTTTGTTCAGGCCTCCAGATCACACTTTTTCCACTCAGTCCTGGAGTGACTCAGAGGGTGTGGATGGGTGAGTCTGCCTAAGTGTACTCAGTGTCTGCGCGTTGCCATGGGTGTGACTCCACGTGTGTGTATGGTCTGCACACACGTACAAGTGCTCCTGGAGCGGTGTATGTGACTCTGAGATGTGCGATGCCTGTTGGCCCCTCCACCCCCACTCTGCAGAGCTGCTTCTCCCTCCCTCCCACCACCTCCCTGGTCCAGCCGCCATCAGCTCTTGCTGGTATTATGGCCACAGCTTCCTTACTGGCCTCTCAGTGTCTGCTCCTGCACTCCGAGGTCCATTAAATTGGGTCATGCCGCTCCCTTGTTTAACTCTCTACTAGCTTCTCATTACACTTAGAACTGCCCCCAGATTCTACCTCCTCCCCCTTCTCTCCTGCACACTCACCCTGCCTGTCTGCTCCCGCCGCTCTGGGGATCTTGGGGGCTTTGGTATTTTCTCTGCTGCCTGGAATGCTCTTTCTCCAGATCTGGCTGGGTCCTTCCCGTTCCTTAGAGCAGCGATTTTCAACCTTTTTCATCTCATGGCACACATAAACTAATTACTAAAATTCAGCAGCCCATTTGATAAGAAAAAAAAAGGTATAATTTTGATTTATTCACACTGGCCAGTTATTGTTGTGTTGGCCGTGGTCATTTTTATAATCTAAGGGGAAAGAGGTCAGTGCCCCTGACTAAATATCAGCTATTGCATTTTTTAAAAAAGATATATTTTATTGATTTTTTACAGAGAGGAAGAGAGAGGGATAGAGAGTTAGAAACATCGATGAGAGAGAATTATCTATCAGCTGCCTCTTGCACACCCCCTACTGGGGATGTGCCCACAACCAAGGTACATGCCCTTGACCGGAATCGAACCTGGGACCTTTCAGTCCGCAGGCCGACGCATTATCCACTGAGCTAAACCGGTCCCAGCAGCTATTGCATGTTTTAAAAATTTCTTGCAGCCCAACTGGTGTAGCCCCCAAATGGTGCCAGCACCCAGGGGTGGGGAGTCAGAGATTTTAAAGGACTCTAGGAGGGCTTTTTTTCTGGGCGGAAAATTCTCTGGGCAGGTCTTTTAAAGGTTTTATTTTTTGTTAATCCTCACCTGAGGATATTTTTCTATTGATTTTTTTTTTCTTTTTTAGAGAAAGTGGGAGGGAGAAAAAGAGAGAGAAACATTGATGTGAGAGATACACATCAATTGGTTGCTTCCGCCCTGACTGGGGATGGAACCCAAAACCCAGGTCTATGCCCTTGACTGGGAATCAAACTTGCAACTTTTAGGTCTGCAGGTTGACGCTCTAACTACTGAACCAACCTGGCCAGGGTGAAATAGAAGTATTTGTTTATTTGTTTTTATTTATTGTCTGTTCCCCCCACTAGAATGCCAACCCGTCTTACTTACTACTTTGTGTCTAGAGCTTGGCATAGTGTGGGTACACAATGCATGCTGAATGAATAAACAAATGAATGCTTGCAGAGTTAGCGTGGCGGGAGGGGTCGTGAGGACTAGGTAGGGGGTGGGGATCTGCTTTCACTGGGAGAAGGCAGCTCCTTCTCAGCACCTTGGCCCATCCATGCCTCTTCTCTGAAAATCCCGGACAAGGTCCAGTGACTGGGCAAGACCCCATCCGGGGACACTCTCCTCTGCTCCCTCTGAGACTGGCCTTTGGGGGGGGGGGTCAGTGGGATGTGCATGGAAAAGTGGAAATGCATGGGAAAGCAGGGAAAGTGGAGCCACGTCTGCATTCAAGCCTCAGTTGGCACCTACTTCCAAGCATTCCCAGATCCCCTGACTCCACGTCTTTCTCTCCAAAGGGAACCAAGTCCCACTGTCTGGAGCTGTTGTCAGAACCCTGAGCCAGCCCTCCCACCCTGCTACTCACCTGCTGGAGGTTCCAGAAGGCGTGTCCGCCAGCCCCGCGAGCAGAGGGTCCTGACATGTGCTCCGGCCGACCCTCCTCCTCCCGGGGCAGCCACCCCTGCAGCCCCCTCCCGGGCTCCACCCCGGACCCGTCTGCCCAGTCCCGCCAGACACACCCCGGGGAGCGACTCAACAGCAAAGAATTTCCCTCCAATTTCCCTGGAACTGGCGGAGCCGGTCTGGTTCCGCACCGCCGCGGCCCCCAATAACAGCTCCCGCCGTCCGCTTTCCCAGCTCCTGGCCGAGCAGCGCCCACATTTCTCACCCCCGCGGCCCCCCCCCCCCCAATAGGACTGCATTTGAGTGACAGGGGCTGTCGCAAGTCCGCGTAGAACTTGGCTTTCGCGGATTCCCAAAATCCAAAATCCTACACGTCCTCCCCTCCAGCGACCCTTCTCCTACACGTTCCCTGCCATTGCGGGCACTTGGGGAGTTTGCGGACGGGGCGTCCGGGAACCCTCCAGCAGCTGGAACCCCCACTCCCGCCCAGAATCGAGGGGAGAGAAGGCAGTGGAGAGGTCCCTCCATCATCACCCCCATCCCCATGCCCCGGGTCCTCAGCCCCCCATCCTCAGCCCCCCATCCTCAGCCCCCCATCCTCAGCCCCCGGATTCTCGCGGGCCGGCCGGGATCCAACTCAGCCCGCCGTCGGCCGTCGCCATGGAGCGCCCAGCGTCCCTGGGGGACCCCCCGCCTCCCTCGCACCCAGCCCCCCGTCCGCACTCGGCACTTACCCGCAGCGGCGCGGTCAGCGCGGGGCCGGGTCCCCGGGTCCTCGAGGTGCGCGGCGGAGGCGGGGGCGCGGGGCGCAGGGGCTCTGCGGACGCGGCGCTGCTCGCGCTGTGGCCGGCGCCTGGGGGCGGTGGGGAGGAGGAAGGGTCGGGGGAGGAGCCCGGGACCCCGCCCCGCCGCCCAGAGTCCGGCTCTAGCCCCGCCGCTGCGGCTGCGGCGCGCTCTCAGGGCTCTCCCAGGTCCGAGCCTCGGGGTTGCATGCGGGAACGGGGCCACCGGCGGCCATGGGCAGGGCGGTGGCAGAGGCTCCAATGAGATTAGGGGCGTGAAGCGCTATAAACTGCCAAGTGCCGTGGCCCGGGCACGGGCTGCAATCACGGCTCGCCCACGCGCGCTGCCGCTGGGGCCGTGCCCGCCCGCGTCCTGCAGGCCACGGTCCCGCCCGCCCCGGCCCCGCGTGGGCGCGCTCCGGGGACCTGCCTTCCCGGCACGACGGGTCCTCGGCGGCCGCGCTGCCTCCTCTCTGTGTCCTCCACGGAAATCTGTGCTCTGTGGAGAGCCCGGGTGGGAAGGGGCGCAGCGAGTCCTGAGCCTGGAGGTGAAATGGGGTAGGGGGCAGGTAGTTGCCAGGAATGACTCCGAGGGGCAGAGCCTGTGGGAGGAGGAGGGGTGGGTGCGGGCAGAGCTCCCCGCTGAGGGGGGTGGGCCTGCGCCGGGGCTGCGCTCTGGGGACCAGGACGGTTTTTTGTCTCATTTGCTAGTGGGCCCTGCTTAGGAAACCAGCCTTTCGAGGGAAACCCCACTGTTTCCGGTCTCCCCCAGGAGTCCTGGGATCTTAGTCACATTGGGATCTTCAGCCCTGCAGTTTCAACAGCAATGCTGCTGCTGACACAGGGTGACTCATTTTCCCAGGAGTATCCAGTTGGTGTATTTAAAAGGCACCCCGCTCCTTTAGCCAAACTTGGGAGAATCAATGACACTGTCACCCTACTCATGGTACTAGAGAGCAAACAGGGTGGGGGGAGAACTCTGAGACATCTTTGTGCCAGGCAGTTCCCGAGGCTTCATTTCATCCCCACAGTGCGGGTGACTGTGGTGTGAGCCTTCTCACTTCTATGACTGAGAAAACTGAGGCACAGAGAGGGCAGGGGACCTGTTCTGGGGGCCTCAGCCATGTGTCCACTCCCTGGGTCCTGGCCTGCAAAGTCATTGCTGAGACTCAGCAGTGCTGGGGAGGCCGGGGTGGTTTTGTGCGTGGCGTGGGGAGACGTGTGAGTATGATGGGGTCCATAACTCTGCCACCTGCTTCGACCGCCTGCTGCTCGGCTGCATTTCAGAGCAAAGCCAGGTACCCGCCCAGTGTGGCTCAGTAGTTGAGCATCAACCCATGAACCAGGAGGTCATGGTTTGATTTCCGGTCAGGGCCCCTTCCCAAGGGTTAGGCCTGATTCTCCAGTAGGGGGCATGCAAGAGGCAGCTGATAGATGATTTTCATCATTGGTGGTTCTATCTCTCTCCCTCTTCCTTCCTCTCTCTCTGAAGTGAATAAAAACATATTTTAAAAAATCAAAAATTAAAAACGAAATACCCACTTCCTTTCCTCCTAGTCATTCTTTTTTTTTTTTTTTAAATATATTTTATTGACTTTTTTATGGAGAGGAAGGGGGAGAGATAGAGAGCTAGAAACGTCGATGAGAAACATCGACCAGCTGCCTCTTGCACCCCCCCCCCGCTGGGGATGTGCCCGCAACCAATGTACATGCCCTTGACCGGAATCGCACCCTGGACCCTTCAGTCTGCAGACCGATGCTCTACCACTGAGCCAAACCAGTTTTGGCCTTCCTAGTCATTCTTGAACCCATTTGAACAATGTTTCTGTTCCTACCATGTCACTGAAGACAACCCCATCAAAGTCACATGGAACTCCATGATGCTAAATCTAATAGCCACTTCTCTGCAGCCAGCCTCCTGGACTTCCAGAAGCACCGGACACAGCTGACCACCCCTTCTTTCTCACACACTTTCTTCCTGTGGCTTCCTTGACACCACATTTCCTGTTTCCTTGTACATTAGAGGCCTTCCACCCCGGCCTCAGGGTGGGCATGCCCCAGGGCTCCGCCTCCTCTCTCCTGGGTGAGCTCCTCCAGTCCTGGGGCTCCCACTACCATCCCTTTGCTGACGAATCCCATATTTCTAGGGCGATTTCTATCTTCTCCCCTAACACCGGACTATGTGGCCAGGGCTGCTCCCCGACCACCAGGTTTCCAGTTACTTGTTTTTCTTCCTGAGATCAACTGCATCTTTGACCACATAGATATAGTTCTCTTCAAACATTTATTTACCCCATGGAAGTATGCTATGTCCATGAGTTGTACTTTGCTGTTTGCATTTAACAAAATATAGGACATTGCCCTGGCCAGTTTGGCTTAGTTGATTCGGCATCATCCAGTGCACCAAAAGGTTGCTGGTTTGATTCCCAGTCAGGGCATATGATCCTGAGTAGAGGGTGTGCAGAAGGCAGCTGATTGATGTTGTGCTCTCAAATCTCTCTCTCCCTCTCTCTCTCTCTCTCTCTCTCTCTCTCTCTCTCTCTCTCTCTCTCTGTCACACACACATACACACTCCCTTCCTTTCTCTCTAAAATCAATAAAAAAGAAGACATTGTCCTCTTTCAGTAGCTATAGACCTAGCTCATTTTTTAAAAATAGCTGAATAGTATTCCATTTTCTCCTATCAGTAGATATAGAGCTGCTTCTAAAAAACAACCACCAGCTGAATAGTATATGTACCATAATCTATTTAATCAGTTCTATATTAATGAAAATTAAGGCTGTTTCCAATCTTATATTTCTTTCTATTATAAACACATTATAAGAAATATCCTTGGACAAAGCATCATTAACAGATTTTTAAAAATTATATCTATAAGATATATTTCTAGAAGTGGAATTTTTGGGTTAACATTGTAGACTCATTTAAAATTTTGATAAAAAAAACCCTAAGGAAAAAAAAAAAAGACAAAACCCTCCTAACATTTTGGTAAATCCCCTCCATAGATGTATCAGTTTTCGCTACCAGCAGAGATGAGAGGCCTTGCTTGCTCATGTCCTTGTCAATATAGAACATCAAACTGAATGATCTTTGCCAGTGGTGCCTCATTGTATTTTTTATTTGCATTTCTCTTCTTCTGAGTGAATATACTTAAGAGCCACCTGTGTTTCTTTTTCTGTGATTTGTCCTTTGCCTTTGCCTTTGCCCATTTTTTCAATGGGATGATTGGCTTTTTTAATTATTTATTTCTTAGGAGCTCTTTACATATTAAAGAAAGAAGCCCTCTGTCAACGGCACAAATAGAAAAGATTCTCCCCTCCCAGTTTGACACTTGCATTTTGACTTTGTGTAGTATTAAGCTTTTTTTTTTTTCAGTCAAATGTATCAATTTTATCTTTTATGGCCTTGGGGTTTGCTCGAAACTAGAAATGCCTTCCCCACTCTGAGAATTGAAAAAAAAAAAAAAATTCTCCCGTGGGTTCTTCTAACTCAAGTAGTGCTTTAATGATATAAGTCAGGTCATGCCATTCCCCTATTAAAACCTTGTGGTAACTTACCATTACTCTACGCTAACACCCACTCTCCTGGGACTAGCCTGCAAAGCCCCAATGAGCTAGTCCTGCCTCACCTCCCGCCACACGTCCCCCTGAGCACTGCCTGGTTCAGTCCACCCTCTGGCCGTTGCGTTTGCCATTCCATGTGCCTGGACTGCTCTTTGCCAGGCAGTTCCCCCTTATCGAGGTCTCACCTTCTGGAAAAGGCAGTCCCTGGTCTCCCCCTCGGAAGTTATCTCACCCACGTCCTCAGTAGCGACTCTTCGGGGCCTTGTCTGAAATGACCTCCGGAAGCTCGCTGGTTAGGCTCAGGGCCTGGAAGTAGGTGACGCCCAGTTACTGTTTGGAAAGTAAATGTTGGCCGCACATGAGGTTTTGTGTGAGAGCTGTTTGTATTTGAGGCTGGGTACCTGTGTGTGAAGGGGCAGCACGGGGAGTGTGTGCGTGCATGGCGTGTGTGATTGTGAATGTGCGTGACTGTGCAGGTGGCTGGGAGGGTTTCGTGAGGTAGTGGCAATGGTGGTGTCTCTGGGCGGTTGTTTTTGTTTTCTCTGGTGACCAGGTGATTTCAGTGCCTAGGTCTGCACATCCTGACCCTGCCAGATGCTGTCCTCTCACTCCCGACATCAGGCAGTGACCCCAACTACTGGCCTTTGCCTGTTCTGGAAGGAGCGGGCAGAGTCTCCATTCCAGAAAGAGGCTCTGAGGCCCTGCTGTCCCACATTGGAGTGCTGCTGTCTGAGCACAGTCGTGTGTGGGAGGCCATCTAGGCCATCCCCCAGCCTCGGGGCAAGGCTGTGTTGTACCTGGTCTTGGCAGCTTCCCAGCCACCCCCACTTCCCCGAGGGCCCACACCTGCTGTCTGAGGGTGTTGGGTCCCAAGCCTGACACCGTACCTCTTCTGGCCCAGACTTGGCCCAGGCTGGTCTTGATCTCAGGCTGCCCCCTGTGTCAGCAACTCTGTCCAGACTTCAGGCAGGGGCTTCCTGGGAAGGGGCAGGGCCTCCTATCTCTGGCTGGGATTTTCTGTGTTTGTGTGTGTGCAGCAGAGAGGTGGGGCTGGTGGAACCCATTGGAAAGCAGGCCAGGTGGAGGCATGGAGGCTGCCAGCCCTGTCCCAGCATGTCTGGGCCATGACTAGGGAGGAAGAGATGTCCCAGACCCAGGCTATAATGTTTTCCTTTCAAAACTTCCCGAGTTACTTGCAACTTCTGCCTGCATACCTCAAATAAAGGAGGAGATACATGACTTTTCTAAGTTGCTGCTAGAATCCAACCATTCTACATGTCTACTGGATCCCACCTTCTCAATCACCCAAGACCTCACTCTGCCTCCTCTCTTTCTCCTCCATCACCACCCTTTTGCTCTTCACTGGCTCTTTCCCATTGCAATAACTATGCTGGTACTTCTCCATCTTAAGAACAAACAAAAAACCTCCTCTGACCCCACCTCTTCCAGCATCTGCCTCATTTCCCCCCATTTCTTTATAGCAAATCTCCTTAAAAGAGTTATCTTGCCTCGCCAATGTGACTCAGTTGTTCAACCATAAAACGAGAAGTCATGGGTTTGATTCCTGGTCAGGGCATATGCCTGGGTTGCAGGCTTGATCCCCAGTAGGGGGCGAGCAGGAGACAGTCAATTGTTGTTTCTTTCTCATTGATATTTCTATCTCTCTATTCCTCTTCCTTTGTCTCTCTAAAATAAAAAATAAATATATTTATAATAGAGTTATCTTGATTCATTATCTTCGTTGTTTTGTCTTTCTTGAATTCACTCTAATTAGGTGTTTGCTCCTCATAGTTCACCCAAACTGCACTTGCCAAGGTTCCCATAACTAAATCCCATGGCCAAGTTTCAACCCTCATCTTGCCCTGCACTCCCAGCAGCGTTTGGCCCAGAACACC